AGTCAGGGTTAACATCGGAGAAGTAGAAGCGACTTCTATATTAGCGAGGTTTTTGTTACGAATTTCGATCTAAATATTTGCAAACGAATTTTGAATAAATAAACAAATAAATAATATTTCGATGACAAAAATTATATATGAAATTCAAATTTTGTTTATAATAAACCTGTACAATTTGATTACGAATCATTCCTTTGTTATTTTTCAATTTACTTTACATTATACGATTTTAAATAATATTTATCTACAGTTGTGATTGCAATAGGTATTCATTTTTCATAGTAATTATTAAGTATTGACATCACTGTCGTATGTATATATTTCCTAAGCAAATTAATTATTGATATTTTAAATTAATAACATAAAAAAGACGAATATACTTCACACGTGAGTACAATCGCTATTTTAAGCAGGAAATTGTGAAGGTAAGATATAAGCGAGGATTTAATATATATCTGTAAGCAAGGATAAACCATCGCTAATGAAAAAACGATTTTGAGCGGAGTTCAATTGATAGTGTTGTTTTGTCATATTATGGTAAAATGATAACAATAATATGCCTTGACAACAATAATTATTTAAAAACATTAAAATAATACAAATTTAATAATAACAAAAACGGTTGCCAATGTGTTGCCCAAACCTTGTTTTTAATCTTTCAACCTTTTTTTAACCTAAAGAACCAGGTTTTCCTCATTATTTCAAATATTAATGAGAATTTAAAAAAAAAACCACGCTAAAGTACCATAAAGAGAACATTTACTTTCAAGAGAGTTGCTATACTTGATAAACGGAGTAAGCTTTCTGGTAGAAACTGTTCACATAAAAAATTTAAAAAAATAAACATTTTAAAAGCAATACACTTCACTCAGAATCTAAAACTAGATTTGATTTTGAATTAAGTAATAAAAAAAAATAAAAAAGTAATTATTGGAAGAACGAGTTTCTTTTTTGCTTTAGAATGAAAAACGGGAACGAATTCCTTTTAAAAAGGAACTTTCCCAACGTTGATTAATGATTATAAACATGTATATAAGATGACGTGACTATTTTCTTACGTCAATCAAAGTATTATTGACTCTTTTCTTCAACAGCGAAAGCATTTTTATTTTTTTGAATGAAAATGGATCAAATTTGCCGCATGCCCTTTTTTCGTTCTGAAAAAAACATAATAAAATTTGTTATTATAATAAGCACTAGAAGAAATTCATCGTTATCCAACGGTTTTCTGCTCACAATTAACATTTCAAGAAGTTTTTCAACATATGGGTCGTGACAAGCTGTACTGTTAGGATCTTCTTCTCTCAACATCTCTTGTTCGATATTGTTGTATATTCTTTGGAAAAATTGTTGAGTCAACACCCGAGCTTCCACAGATTTTCGCTTAGACAAAATCGCTTTGACTTCAACCGTAATTTGATTCAATTTATCGTCGTGTTCGTTCTTATTATTTCTTGAATTGGTTGTTTCCACTTGTAGGTCTAATGGCTGAATAACTGGCACCGGTCTAGAAATACATTGTTTGTATTAAACTATAGATTTTAAACTTCAATTTCTATATAGAGGAATCACATTTTAAGTTAGTTTAAATTCAAAAAGACGTCCTTGGATAATGAGGATGGATGCAGCTACTGTTATAAGTAATTTAATGTTTACCTGTAAGCAATGATAAACCATTGCTTACGAAAAAACTGATTTTGAGCGGAGTTCACTTGATAGTAATGCTTTGTCAACAATATATAAGCCAAATTATAGTAAAATAATTAAATAAGCTCTATATTTTCTTTAATATACCGATTTTCAAATGTTTTTTCACATTTTCTGAGAAAACCCCAGAGAAAATCGAAAAATGACCACTCTAAAGTTCCTCCCCGGTGAAATTTCCTTTTAGACAAATTTGCTTTCATTATAATTTGGAACGAAATTACTTTAGAAAAATTGTCCAAAGAAGAAAAAATGTCGTAATGTTAAACAAATATATTTCGTACATTTTTCCGTTTTTTCCTCTGGGTTTTTCGCATTTAATAAGAAAACTCTTCAAAAATCGAAAAATAACCTCTTTAAGGTATCCACCTACACCAGTTTTCTTTCAGAAAAAGTGCTACACGTAAAAATCGGAGCAAGTCCTCTGTTAGAAAAGTTGTCCACAGAAAAAAAAAATAATAAACATCTTTGTAAAACCATTCGCTCCACTCAAAATCTACAATTGCATTTTTTTATGATACTATGTAAAGATTGTAAAACACTGAAAAAAAATACTTAAGACGTAAAATAAATTATCTTACATCGGCTGCCCACATGTGTTTACCCATCCTTGATCGGTATTTCCTCCCAACGTCACGGCTACGTACGCAAATATACCCGAATTTTCCGCCAATGTCTTGCAGGCTATATACGTACTACCGTCGATAGACATATGATTCATATCGATGACTTCTAATTCTCTGTTACGAATAAAACTTTGCCAATTTTTTTGGTTCTCGCTTATCTAGACACAAATTTTTTTTTATCATTGTTATTTAACCATAAATATTTTGGTATTTTTAAAATAATCAAATACTCACTGCTTTTTCGTGTTCCACTTCTGAGGTCGATTTAGTTGTGATGTGTTTAAATACACCGTCCAATGATAATCGGGCTAATTTAGGAGACTCATTAAATGGGGCGCTGAGCTTTCTTTCATTCATATTAATAATCAGTTGTGACAAATAGATATTCCGTATTTGTTTTTCGTTTGTATCTTTATATTTTTCAATGACGAGTTTGTCTAACCATTTCTAAAAATGAATACGTTTACATATAATAAATAAAATTAACCAATTTAATTTACGTAGGCATTACTTGGCAGATTTCTTTGTCACTTTTGGATTTTAACGAATCAAAAGATTCTTGAAAATGTTCTAAAAAGAATACAAAATCTACTTCGACTTTTTCATCTAAACTGGTAGTCATAATTAATTTTGATAGTTTTAAATTATACGAGTTAAAATTCTTAATGTTATGGTTAATTTTTATTTTTACTACTAGAAATAACTTGTAATGATTTTCTCCCAATTAGTATAGTAACGAAATACGTATTATTTTGGCCAATTTAGTAGTTTTACATAAAATTATATTCTGAAAACATAAACAAAACCGAATTTTCGCTATTTTTATTTGTATTGCATAGCAAATATATAAAAAAAGAGCTGAAACTGGGGATGGGAGAGGCCACTGTTATAAGTGAGAAGTTGGGAAGGTAGAATACATAAGACTATTTCATTTATATCTGTAAACAACGATTAACCATTGCTTGATGAAAGACACTTCTGAGCACAGGTCGGTTATACATAATTTGAAGTACCATAATTTATTTGCGATTTACGTTCAAATTTGATTTCAAAACGTTTATTAAAAAAAAAGTCACTCTGTGATTTTGGAAATTTCACCACGTCGTCGTAATAAATGAATGACAGCGAAAAATTCCCAAAAATTAAAATTGCTTAAAAGTAACTGATAAGTTTTGACGATGATACCGTAATGAAGTACAACCAAAAGGTATGTTGTGATTGTTTGATTAAATCAATTTTTCTGGTAGAAAACGTTGTCCGTGTTTTATAAAATAATGCAATCGTGAAATCTCCTTTTTTTTTTCCACTTAAGTGCTTTTATTTAAAAAATAGCGTAAAAAATCTAAAAATGACCTCTTTAAAGTACAATCTAGACAACTTAAGCTTTTAGAAAAGATGATACACGTAAAAACCGGAGTAAGTTTACTAGGAAAAAATGTGTCCACAGTCACAGAAATAAAGAAACAGCATTATAAAACTAATAGCCCCTCGCCACGCTTAAAATCTAAAATGGTGGTATTTTCGATGA